AAATCTAAAAAGATAAGATATTAAGCTTAGTTTTATTTCCCTCTATAAGCTAGATTAAATAATTATCTAAAAAAAGGAGAAGCTAGCTAATAACCCCCTATAGGCTAATAACTAGGCTATATATAATTTAGTTAAAACTAACCTCCTTATCTTACTTTATACTTATAAGGATATCTTTAGTAAAGTAATAAGTAACTAGCTTACCTCTTATTACCTCTATAACTATAAGATTAAGCTTATAAAGAGAAAAAAAAAGAAGCTTACTTATTACTTATTATATAAATAATCCTTAGAGGAGCTAGAAGCTATAAGAGAGTACCTCTTAAAGAACTTATAGAAAGGTTAGCTTAAGCTAGGGAACACGCCTTAAGCTACTCCTATACTATTTATTTAAAAACATAATAGTAGTTTATAATTCTATATAGATTTTTAGAAACTTAATAAACTTATAAAAAAAGACTACTATCTTCTTCTATTAATTAATAAAACTTTATTATATATTAGGTAGGTAAAGATTTTTATAAAGATTAATATTTACTAGGCCTTTAATAAAATCTAAATACACCTTAACTCTAAAGATCTAATAACTTTTTATACTTACTATAGTGTATATAAGTATAAGGTGTTACTATTTAGCCTATATAATAGCCTAGCTACCTTTTAGTAGTATATAAATAACGTCTTAATAAAGTATCTTAATAACTTCTATACTACTTACTTAGATAATATCCTAATTTTTTTAAAGACCCTTTATAGTACTAAAAGTATATTAAGAAGATCTTTACCTAGCTTTATAAAGCTAGGCTATAAGTAGATATTAAGAAGTATAAATTTAAAGTAATAACTACTAAGTACCTTAGGTTTATTATCTCTACTAATAGTATTTATCTTAACCTTAAAAAGATTACTATAATTAAAGATTAAAAGCCCCTAATAACTATTAAGGGAGTCTAATCCTTCTTAAGGTTCTATAATTTTTACTATTAGTTTATTATAAAGTATAGTTATATAGCCTGCCTCTTAACTTAACTTACTACTAAAGACTACCTATTCTTATAAACTAATAACTATAAAAAGGCTTTTACCTCCCTAAAGAAGTCTTTTACTACTACCTTAGTGCTTTATTATTTTAAGCCTAAACTTCTAACCTATATTAAGACTAACGCCTTAGACTTTATATATACTAACGTAATACTTTAATAGTAAGAAGATAGTATCTAGCACTTAGTTACTTTTTACTTTAAGACTATAAGTAGTATAAAAATAAACTATACTATTTATAATAAAGAACTTCTTATTATTATCCTTATACTATAAGAATAGTAAGCTAAGCTTACTAGCTACTAATAGTATTTTAAAGTTATTACTAACTATTAGCTACTTTTATATTTTATAATAAAACGCCTACTAAATAGTTATTAAGCCTAATTATTAGGATTAATAATAGACTTTAATTTTTAAATTAGCTATTAACTTAAAAAAGAAAACGTCCTAGTAGACACCCTCTCTAAAAAGAAAAAAGATCTTACTATATAAAAGGCTTTAAAAGAAGCTAGTTATATATAATTACTTCTACCTCCCTTAGTGCTTATACTAAAAATTACTATATAGTTATAGTAGTTATTAGAGACTACTACTATAACTAAGGGAACTACCCCTAAAGTAATTATAGTAGATATACTAACGCCTAAAGATAACCTTTAAGGGTACCTACTAGTAGAATAAATCCTATAACTAAATTAAGAGGCTACTATACCCTCCCTATTAGCTTCTTAGGATCTAGCCTAATAAGGGTAAAAATAATAAAAACTAACTAATAATAGCCTATTAACTATAGACAGGCGCCTAGTAGTGCCCTCTAAAGATAACCTATATACTTATATAATTTAAAAAGCTTATAACTAAAAGTTACTTATATACCCTAAAAAGAATAAAATAGGTAAAGTTATTAAGAAATAATATTACTAGCTAGAAATAACTATAAATATTAAGTAATATATATATAACTACTATATATATTACTATATATATAATTTATATAATAAGCCCTTAAGAGAACTAAGGCTATTACTTATTTTATATTACCTATAGTAATATATTACTATAGATTTTATAGCCTACCTAAAAGATAAAAAAGGATATAATAATATATAGGTTATAGTAAACTACTTAGGGAAGCAGGTAGTATTAACGCCTTATTATAAGACTACTATAGTAAGAGATATATCCTACTTTTTTTATAAATACCTACTGCTTTTTTTTAGTTTTCTAAAGATAATTACCTCTAACTATAGCCCCTAATTTATTTCTAAATTTTAAAATAAGCTAATAAAAATTTATAGTGTTAAGATTTAACTTTTTACTACTAACTACCTATAAATAGATAGTTAAATAAAGATCCTTAACTAGTATATTATTTAATAACTATACCTATTAGTAAATTACTATTAAGATAACTAAAGTAAAATACTTCTTATAGTAGATTTTACTTACGCTATACTCCTTAGTAAAAGCACTAGCCTATTACTATTTAAAATTAAATTTAGCTATATACTATAACTTAGTTTTAACTAAGACTATAAAATAGTAAAGTTTAATAGCACTTAAGAAAAAATTAACTAGACTAAGGCCTAAAAGATAGCTAAATATATTTATAAGTACTAAAAGATTACCTAAAGGAATATAGAAATTACTTAAAAATACTAATAATAATATATAAATAAATATTAAAGGCTAGATAATATTTAGGTAAAAGATAATATCTTTATTAATACTTCTTACTAAAAGAAAAATAACCTTAATAAGCTTTAGAACCCTTAGTTAGGTCCTTAGCCTATAATTAGTATAGGCTTAAGTAGTACTTAGTAGGTTTAGCTCCTTAAGGGTATTAACGCCTACTTAGTATTTTATCTTAATAAGCTCTAAAAGGCCCTAGTAGACCTACTTCTAGGCTAGCACTAGGACCTCTTACTACTAACTATAACTAGAGATAAAGAACTAAAATATAAAGTAGTATACTTATTATAGTTTAAGATAAACTATAAAAAATTATAATACTATATAAATTAAGTTAACTATAATAAAGACCTTACTTAGTATAACACTAAAAGCTTTTACTATTTAGTAATAGTATTAAAAAAGTTTTATAAAAAACACCTTAACACTAATAGCCTACCTTAGAGCTTATACTTATAGCTTAAGGATATAGCTATAAACACTAAATTACTAATATAGCCTTATAATAACGCCCTAAAGAACCTAAAAAGGTGTTAATTAGAAGGTTTATTAGAAGCTTAGGTAGTATCTAGGTAACTATATATATTTACTAATTAGTATAATACTAGCTTACTATACTAATTAGCCTCTCCTTCTTATAGACCTACTAACACTTTTTAGGCTTTTACTTTATTTTATTAGGTTTTAGTCTAAAAAAATATTTCCTAAAAAAAGAATTTATATAAGAAATTAAAAAAATTAACCTATAGCTACTAAAACCTTATCTAATCCTATATACTTTAAGAACTTAAGCCTAAATATATATTATAAATAATATAGCTCCTAAAGGGGGAGGTAATATTATAACTAGAGGGGTTATATAAAGGATATATAAATAAAAATAAGGTTATAGTATAGTTTAGTAGCTAGTATATACTACGCCTTAGTAGTAAGTGCACTATAGCTATAGTAGTCTATATACTACGCCTTAGTAGTAAGTACGCTATAGCTATAATAGTTAGTACACTACGCCTTAGTAGCTAAGGCCCTAAGCCTTAGTAGTTAGTGCACTTATACCCTAGTAGCTAGTAAACCTTATAGCACTAAAGGACCTACTAAAGGGCAGGGGACAAGAACCCCTAGTTATAAGAACTATTAGGTAACTTATAAACAGAATAGATAGCTATATAATAGCTAGCAGGACTACTAGCCTCCTAGGGTAGATTCCTTTCCTCTTTACCTTTAAATTCTTGTAATAGGAAATATAGTTATGTGTCTAACTAACGTAGTATTACTGCTGTAATATATATAGAAAAAAATATTTTTTATATTTATTTTTAAATATTAAAAACTATATATTTTATATTTTTCTTCTTATATATAAATATACTATATTTATAAATAGAAGTAGTATATACTATATATATTACCTATATATATATATAAGCTATAAGAAGTATTATAGTAATTATTATAGAATTCTATCTTTTTCTCTTAAGGAGTTATAAAAGATTCTTAAGATTTTAAAAATACTAAGATTTTCTTAGTAAATAGGCTTACTTAAAGCATAACCTTTATAACTATAGCTATTTATATAGTAAAAATATATACTATATAAATAAAAGTAGTAAAGATATAAAAATACTTTTTAAGATTTTTCCCCTTATTTTATAGTACTTATATAGTGCTATATTAGGCGTATAAAAAGTAGTAGATTTTGGTGGGAACACAGCGTTTTGTAATGGCCCGGATGTGGGGGTGGCCCGGATGTGGGGTAGGGGAGTTACCCTAATAGCTAGAAAAGTAAGCGGGATCGATGTATCAAGCCGGTCGCAACTTCGTGCTACTTTACATTCAATGTTACAACTATAGTTCACGAATGCATTCAAGGTATGTGGTTGAACATATTATCAGTGGGAGCCCTCACATGATCCAGTTCAATTATGTAGAACATACTACATGTTGACAAGCTAGCTTGCGGTGCTTACCGCATAACTAATTGCGATAGAGACTTGACGCAGAATACTTTACAATATTCCAAGATGGAACTTCGTAATAAACAGAAGAATGAGAGACGCTTTAAGGAGGCTTCACGAGGATTAACTGCAAGTAATACTCGCCGGACATGTGGCTTTAACGGAACTATCACTCATTTTCGACAAAACTACAGAGTTTCCATCAACAAGTTCGGAACAACGAAAAGCATTGCGAACCACACAAGGGCAATCTGGTGTCGCACACATACCATAAGATGAGAATAATGTGAAGGTAGTGTCGTCTCCCGATCAAAGACGCGAGTGAAGCACAAATTCTCCCGGGGCGTGGTACGTAGGCACTTTCATCTCGAGGGCTTCCCCAGAGTATCCGAGGTCCTCGGCGACGAGAATGGCAGCCTTTTCGCCAATGAGCAAGGCGGTCGAGTATCTAACATATGTTAGCCAGTTACACGTGACAGTTACGAGGGATATTGCGACAGACGTGTTGCAGCCGACGTTATCGGGGCAGATGGAAAGGTCAGCGACCTTAAGACCCTTAACGCCGTGCACATTCAGACGCTCGTCCAATACGCCGTGTTTGACAATACTGTTGCCCTCCTTGGGAGCCATAGAGCAGGTCTAGTCTTTGTTAGTTGATGTTTTTCTCTCCTTATTGCGTAATACCACTTACCCCAAGGCTGTGCCAGGTGGTCTCGACGTGACGCTTAACCCATTCCTCGACGGCTTTGATGTCTTCGTTGCTATACTTGAGTGGCTCACGGACATCGACACAGTGAGCAGACAAGGTCTTCTTGAGATCGGCCTTCCTGTCTGCCTCGTTGAGCGGCTGCGTCCAGCTGCCGTGCTGAATACCCGCGCTGAGGTTCCCGGGCAGGGCGTACTTATTGGTGTCTGGGAGGTTAAGGTCTCTAGCGCAAGCGTCTGAGTCGTACGAGAAGAATGGGTGCATGTTGGCGACCTCGCCGGCGTAGGCGTCCATGCGGCGGGCCGTCTCGCGCGACTTTATGTAGCCCCATACCATGGGAACCATGTCGCGCTCGTCATTCATGAACCCGGCGTCAAAGTCGGGCGAGTCGTACGGGTTGGGCGAGACAATGTGCGTGGATCCACGCGAGAAGGGGTACTCAAGGAAATGGAACATGGTGAAGAAGTTACCGGGGGGCATGACCATATGGTCTCCAAACCAGCCGGCAATGACCGAGTAGTGCATCACGGGCTTGTCAGGCTTGTTCTCAAAGTATGATTTCCAGCCGTCCTTGAAGTGTGGGGTTGGCCAACGCTCAAACTCCCGTAGTTCTTCGGGGGTTGGGCGAATCTTGACGCCGGCTTCGATGCCATTGGTGGCCAGGGGACCAGTACCTTTGATGTTCCATTCGTCGAAGACGCCTAGCAATGATTAAGTCAGCTGTTGTTTTCAGGACACTCCAACCAGGTCCTTACGCTTCTGAACCTCAGGGTCTCCACGAACAAAGTCGTCAAAACTCTCGGTGCCAGGCTTCGCGCGATAGGTCGAGAAGGTCAGGTAGTGGTCCTGGAAGTTGAGACCAACACCGGGGAGATCAACTATGGGCTCGACGCCAGCGCGTCGGAGCTTCTCGGGGTCACCGACGCCGGAGCGCTGAAGGATGAGGGGAGACGAAAGAGTTCCGCCAGACACAACAATCTGCTTGCGGGCCCTGAATGTGCGTCCTTTAAGCTCACTTGGGTCAAGCGGCTTGCTCGGTCTGGTTTTCAAGTTAGATTTACGCCCTGCAGAATTTTATATCCTCTGAGAATCACTTACACCGTTTGAACGGCAACGGCTCGGCCATTCTCAATGATGACCTTGTCAACCTTAGTGTTGCAGGCAAGATAGAGATTGGAGTGCTTGGCTCGAGTTGCGTGTATGTACGCGTGGGCACTATCACTGCGACGGCCGGTCTGAGGTAGTTTTGGTCAGCAGCGTGTCTGATAGGGCAAACGGGCGAAGTAGGATGCCCACATCGCGGTTGATCCACTTAAGCCAGTGTTCAGCTCCATGGCCAGTGGTCAGATCTTGAAGATCATCTACCACAGGGATTCCCTGGGATGAGGCAGCCCGAAGGAAGTCATCCTTGATCGGGTAGGTGCTAAAGGAACAGGCGGTTAGTTTTGGGCTATCCGTTGAACCCCCGTATATTAGCTGTAAACCTACTAGTTGCCGAATGAAACTTTGATGGGCCCGTCGAAACCATGAATGTCCCTTTTTTTTCAAGTATTAGTCGTCATTGTTCACGGTTACAACGCAAGCAATGTGATTCGTTACCGGTTGTGAGAAGCTCGCTGATATGTTTCGTGCTTCTTCATTAGGGGTAGCAGCTCCTTGGTAGACCATCCCTTGGCCTGAAAGTCATCATAGTCCGAAGCTGAAGCCCGGGTGTACATCTGTAATCGCATCAGCTAAACCTACTCTATTCCCGGGTACATTGACATATATGGCTAATTACTGACCATGAAGTTAATCGAAGAACCACCACCCAAAATGTTGGCACACGGCACAATGGCGGATCGACCGGAAAGGTGCTTTGAGGGCCTGGACTCGTAGAAGGTTGCTGTTTTCGAGTCCAGCTTCATGTTCCGAGGGTAGATACCTGGCCGGAAGACCCATGGGTTGTTCAGGTTGCTTTCACCATTTTCAATGAGAAGGACCTTGAGGTTGTGATCCAAGTTGGCAAGTCTGTGGAGGATTAGCATTTCTCAAATAACTAATAGTCGGTATAGATGAGACAAACCGTCCGGCAACGACGCAGCCGCAACTGCCACCGCCACAGACAATAATGTCAAACTCGTCGGGAATCGATCCGCTCATGATGGCGGTTGACAAAGACAAGAGAGACTATAACAAAACAATGAGAGCAGCTTTATGAGCAAAAGAAGTAGAAAGTCAATCGTTACGAAAGCGTGCTATGATAATCACGTCCAGGTCAGCAACGATGCCAAGTAGACGTCCTGGAGCAGTTAAATGATAATTCAGATGAAAACCAGCCATTCGGGACGGTCTTTAAATATTTAGGAAGAAGCCCTAACTTAAGGCATCAGTGCTGCTTCCTCATCACGCGGCCATATCGTAATAGACCCCGAATTTACTTTGGACTATCCAAGATCTCAACCCAAAGAACCAACAGGAAGAGAGGTAGTGAGGGGAAGCCATGGACTATCCCTCCGAGATACTACGGACCTTGAGATGTGATTCGATCGAAAGGATGCAAGTTCCGTGTCATCCGGTATTTTTGAGTAGCAACCTACCTATCATCGACGCGCGTCTGTGGAAGTAAGGGTATTACCCCGAAGGTGAATGCATGGCAGCATGGTCATGCCCTTCCAGTCGATCAACATGCTTCTCAGCTTCCCCGCACTTGCCGAGGGAGATGGCGCAGGAGTTTACCAGTTTCATGCGGCGATAATGCTAGGCCGATGTCCACGTTGGCTAGTAAATAGACCCAAGCTCATTGCCGATGTGCAACACTTCCGCACGCCCGATGACGATTTGCCGTCATCACATCCAAACAATGAACTACCGACAGCTGGTGCGGAGTATCTGGTCCAGGCGCGAACAAAAGCCACCAAAGAGTTCTGATCCCTATCCAATAGAGTTGTCCTCTAACAAATTGAGCACTACCTAGTTTTGTGCCCAAGTAACGGCACCGTGTATCCAAATCTGGGAGCTCCAGCTCTTGTATCATGTTAGTAAGAGAGCTCCCTAGTGGAAGCTGACTCCTATGCCTTCTCCTCAATGCATCAGACGTATTTTCCGACCGGTATTGCCGGTCGATTTGCTCCTAGCTTGGACTAGTCATTGATATTCTGAGAATGGGTGGACTAGGTTGGTGCCGCCCCCGCCTGTCTGCACCCCGCAATTCAAAGCCCGGGGTAACATGGGGGAGTTAGCCCGATGGTCGTATCCTCAAGCACCTACTGCAAGCCAAGCCTTACCTCCAACTGTCCAGATGAGGAGAAGATAGCTTCATGAATCGGGAAAAGTTGAGTTAGGAGGTCCTGACATAGAGCTGAGTCACCGAACTATCCCCGAGATATTGTTGCAGAGTTGGAGTCCAAGCTTGCTATGCCTATCGAGGCTCATGACGTCCGGTTGGCGTTGGCCCACCCCTCTTCAACGGCCCCGGAAACATTTCCGAGTGCTAGACAATTTGGAGCAATCGGATAGCTGCGGGCAATGGATTGCTGCAGGACGGCGAATCACATATGCCCCAGCCTGTGCATAGCCCATCCATGCAATGAAGTGCAGGATGCAGTGCCGCTACCTCTCTTTGGAAGTTATCGGCTGTGGGGTTTAGGTGAGAGTGTCACTGGGATCAGGTTTTCAGAAGTGCTGGTGGCTGAAGAGTATTTCGAGAATCCGAATCACGTTGCATCGGTTGCTCAGCGATTCATGATAGTTCTGCCGCCCCAAGTTTTGCCGAGGCCAAGCATGAACCTCTCTAGTCTCCAGTTATTGCTTCTTCAAATGCTTTTCTTTTTGTAAAGTTTCACAACATCTGAATCTTCCCAAAGTCTAGTCCGTCCCAAAGCTAGGCTGGGGGCCGTATCATAAATCGTGTCATTGTAGGGTGTCAAATCGACCTGATGCTCATTCAGGCTAGCATACTGTCACTGTATGAGCCCGTTCGAGGTGTTTATTTTACGTTAACGTCGTAAAAACGAGCATGTCTGTAAATAAACAAGTATCGCATGGTGCGGAATGACATGGTGTGGCCTTCGTTGAACAGGGTCCGGGAAGTACGCAATAGTCTGTGTTCGAGAAGATAAGGTTTCGGTGGATCAAAACAATTTCGACATGGCATGCATCTGAGTGATTGAAGTACTCGTGCTAGGGAGCCGGATACGATGTGATTTGTTGAATAATGTAGTACTGTGACGTCCAAACCAAAGCCATACTGGTACCAACACGACATGGCATATTTGGAATAGGGAAACAACGTATGCCCCGCGGCCCAGGCAATAGTGCCTTTAGATTTCCGGACATATGTGGCAACGACTATGGGAATGGATGGGATTATTCGTCAGGAAGATGTATGAGAGCTGCAAGTTGATGCTTGCCATGGCCCGCCCAGTTCAACAGAAACGGGAGCATTAATGACTGGAGTCGCCAGTGTTCCGACGAACCCAAAGTCCCAGTTTTTTCATGAGGTCCAGAATATGCTCCATTCCGTCAATTACAGCGGAGCTTGGAAGGCCAATGTCCGGTATGTGTCCAGTTGCTCTGAGAAACAATAAATAGAAAGAAGGGACGTCCTACTTAGTAGCTAGAAGACCGGAAAGGCGGTTCTGCGTAAACACTGGTTTATCTACCACGTATTCCTACAAAGAGAACCAAAAATAGACTACTACCGACGGCGATGTTGGGAATAACAACGGATATCTTGAACTGACTTCGTCAAAGCCTAGAATGATAAGAATTGAGGGGGGGGGAGTACGGTATCTCCACAAAGCCCAGCCGGGCGACTGCAGCTGCGGTCAGCTTGTCTTGCATGCTTGGCTGGCTTACCCCGCGGCCATGGTGCGGAAAACCAACCGGCAGAATAAAGCCGAAAACAGAGGTAGCAAAGGCACTATTTGATGCAATATGACAACGCGTAAGCTCAAGTTAAAGGCGGGGTTGCGGCGGAGGGGAGAAAGGAGGGTGGATTTTGAATAACATGGCATCGCCAACTCAAATGATTCTTATTGATGTCTTCCGAAATGCAATGAGGACAGCGCCCACAACGATGACCAGAGAAATGACAGCGACAAAATTTGTCTGACCTTTGGAGAGAGCTATCCCCCAAAATATCGCCGGACGCGGCGAATATAATTAGAACCCCTGGGCTGGGATTAGACCATTCGTATGCTTAGGGTGCGACATCGGTTTAATGCTGCGCACATCACTTGGATAATTGAGTAGGTACGATATAATAACCCGGTCGCGTTATTGCAAGCCGTCTATTTATCTGGTAATGGATATAAGAATATTCTAATGATGGTGGTGTCTAGCGTAGAGAGAAAGTGAAGAGCGACGACATAAGCTCGATGGACAGTGTTGGATGGCACGATGTGAAGATTCGACACCGCGGAGATCCCGTAGAATCACCATTCTGCAGTGTCCGGGGAGTTGGCTCTACGGCTGTAGGATGGACAGTGTCACAGTGTCTCCTTGAAACCACGAAGCCGGAGAATCGGTCGAAGTACAATGTTTCTGGCAGGCTTTGAGTTCCCTTGGTAAGATGCATTTGTTTACACTAGGGCATTTACCAGCGACGCCTTGGAGAATGAAAGACATTCAACACTGCCATATGGGCGGATCCGCAGGTGCCCGGGCCGCTCTATTGACCGTACCAACACAAAAGTTGATTGGCGCACGAAGAAGCTGGTTTATAACGGCGGTTGTCGCGGCTACCTCCAAAGCACTAGACAGTGTAAGATTGCACAATGGTATGATGGGCGGTTGCGCGGAGGCAGCCGGTCCAATTAGTTTGACTAGTCGATGCTATTTGCGAGGCCTGGGAGGGTGATCGGTTGGAGGTCTCGGTCCTCCCTGCCTTTTGTTGGTAGTACATTTGTAGCATTCTCTTGGAGAGAAAGTGCGATGTATCTTTGCCATTGACATTGTTCCAGTTCAACACAGCTGTGGACATGCAGATTTCTTGCAAGTGAGGCTCGAAGCTAAGCAAAGTCGAGTTGAAACGATAATGATTAGGTAAGGCGAATGGTGGGTAGTCAGTCACGTGCCTTTGGGTCATGCGCACACGTGACATTGCCAGGGGACTTCTAGAAAGGGGGTCGCAGAACGCCGACCCAGCAGATGTGTAATGACCATAGTATACCTGCAGTATCCTGGCATTCACGGTACAGGAATCAGAGACATTATCGACAGCGTAGGTAATGGCACTGCAACGTTGCTTGACTGGCATCTGTGTATCTGCCCCTTCGCCACCTCGCACCAGATCATCCCCAGCCGTCCAAGCAGTCATTCCTTCTGAGAGAGGTCCCTTTTCTTTCTAATTTAATGCGGAGCACAAACACAGTGCGAGACTGCCTGGCCGTATAGGGGCTCTCCTTGCTCCCGTGCCCTGGCTGTAACGGATCGACGCAGGGCTCCTGTCTCTGGAGAGCAGCCTAATCTGGTCAACTACGGCTTGCTAACGCCCTGCTGGGTAATGCTGGGCTGTCAGGTACGGGGCAACGGGGCAGCAGAAAGACTACTGATACGCTTGGGACTCATCCTATGCTCGCACACAGTAGGAGGGGAAGGAGGAAGAGGCTCAAATAAGATGGAAGGGGAGCATGCTAATTACTAATCATGTATAGATACACTACTACAGTAGGTATCAGTCAAGAGTCTGTTTACAGTAAAAAGGATAGCCAAACGAAGAGTCAGAGGGGGAAAACCCATTAATAGCTCGTGGTCACTTCACAGTGCGTCACCAAAGGCCCTGTGTTCTAGCCACCTACTGTAGCTTTTAATTGACCATCCTTATTACTGTGGCCAGACTTTTGACTAGCACTGTATATGTTACCTTACAGTCCAGCATTACGAAGTGCATTCGAGTTGTAATATCGTCTGCCCACATATGAAAGGGGGCAAGGTGCTGTTTACTGATCATGAATAAGCAGACACAGGGCTTATGCTTTAATCAGTAGCCAGGTATCGCCAATCCACCTGTAGCCGGTGTCAAAACATGACGAGAGGACTGTCGGTTTATCCATATATATCCGTACATTTGCCATGACAGGAAAAGGATATGCAGAATTTGCTGAGCTCACCCGCCCACCAAGCACCCTGTGCTATACTGATACCAATGGCGATTTCCAAGCGAGGAGGCTGTGGTTGGTGCCATTCGGTGGTCGAATGTTAGCGAGCTGCTTTGGTAAGCAACTCGTCCAGTCTGACAAAAGACCAAAAGGGGAGTCGTTGTACCATCTCGCACAGTGAATGTCTCGTGCCTGCGCCAGTTCCGTGCCCACTGCCCCTCCCTGCCATTTGCCCCCTTTCAGCACTGTGTAACCAGCTGTATCATCGTCTTCCACCTCGCGCCTCACCTGGGGTGCTAGACACCCAGTGGAGACATGTCTCGTGCTGGCCGGATACTTGTGTCGCTCTCCCCGTACCGTGCGGGTGTCAGAACCAGGTCGAGCGATTTCATCATCCATCCGCCCCCCTTTAGCCCCTTCCCTTTCCCTACTACGTATTCCTCTCCCGTCTAGTAGGCCAAGCGGGTGCGGGTGCACCGCCTCCTGTGCCTCCTGTGCCCCTATTCTTCCATCATCTATCCACCCCTCCCTCCTATACGTGCGTCCTTCCGCTCCGAGCCTGGTTGAGATACTGTCCTTACCCCCTGAAGGCCATTAGCACCTACCTGCCTGTACCCCCCCTTTTGCCCACTGTCTTTCTCCAGGTGAAGCCCAGTTTAGCTCTTGGTTGGTTGAAGAAAAATCGATTCAATACAGAAGTCCTTTCAGCTTGCCCAAAAGTCCCATTCCGAGTCGACACTTTTCTCAACTCGATTGAATCTCTTTTCCCTGAGGGGTTTTGTCGCTTGTCTGCTCTCTTGCACACACCACCACAATTCTGCCGCATCTTCTTTCCTCCCTCAAGCGTGTCCTTCTTTCCCCGCCGTAAAACCAGTAAAATAGGTACACAAAGTTGGGATTCTGGTATTACCCCGTCGCAGTGACAGCAACACACACTGACTAACCAACCAAAATATCCAGCCAGTCGGCACCAGACTGTCTCACCACTCACGTCCCCCCTCTCTCCCCGTCCACGTCCGTCCGCACCAAGCCTCAAGGCCTAAGAGAGGGGGCGTCTTTGCGGGGTTCCTCCAACGAGCGAGCGAACGAGCGTCTTTGTCCGCAACCTCCAACATCCACCAACAAATCACGACCCTAGACAGGCCGACCAGCACCTTGACCGTCTCGTCTCTCCCTCTACCTCACCTGACTTTTTGCATTATTTACCTACCTCGATATACTTCACCTCACTCCTTCGTGGCATCAAACCTCTACCTCGTACGTCTCGACCGACTCGACTCGCTTGGTCGTCGATACTGTACCGTCATTCACACCCACCCGACCGTCTTCCTTCCCATCGCCGATTTCGCCCCGTCGCGCATTCGGCCCAAGACACCCTCACACAATGTCGTGGAAGTTGACGAAGAAGCTCAAGGAGACCCATCTGGGTCCCTTGGCCAACACCTTCTCCCGCTCGCCGTCTACTTCTACCATCACCGACAGCAGCGAAAAAGCCCAACCCAACATGTCGGGCACAGCGACGCCCACGAATGAGGGAACCATTGGTACGAGACCCCCGTCCTCGAATCCCCTCCCCTGTGCGTCGAGCAGGCGCGATGCACTCCATACTGACTGTTGCAGCTGCCTCTGAGGCCATGGCGCAAGCACCAGTTGTCAACCCCCCGAAGCCCGGCATCCTCGTCGTCACTCTCCACGAGGGCCAGGGCTTCTCCCTTCCCGAACAACACAGACAAGCCTTTGCTTCCTCACACCAAGGTTCGCTGTCATCCGGCGGCGCTCTCGGCGCTGCTGGCTCCGTCCGCCCCTCTTCCTCACAACGAGGAGCTGTCGGCTCTTTCATTAACGGCGCCTCCCGCCCACAGACTTCTGGTGGCGGCTTTACCGGTATCCCCACTAACCACGGTCGTATTTCTGGCAAGTACATGCCCTACGCCTTGCTGGACTTCGACAAAATGCAGGTCTTTGTCAACTCAGTCGAAGGGACGCCAGAGAACCCCCTCTGGGCTGGAGGAAATACCCAATACAAGTTCGATGTCTCTCGCGTAACAGAGCTCGTCATTCACCTGTACATGCGCAACCCCATGGCCCCTCCTGGATCCGGCCGTAGCCAGGACATCTTCCTCGGTGTGGCCCGCATTAACCCCCGCTTTGAGGAGAAGCACCAGTTCGTCGAGGACCCCAAGGCGAACAAGAAGGACCGCGAGAAGGCCGCGGCAGAATTCGCCAGTCGCCAGCGTTCGCTCGGTCACAGCGGAGTCGAGTGGGTGGATGTGCAGTACGGTACCGGAAAGGTCAAGATCGGTGTCGAGTACGTCGAGAACCGCGCGGGCAAGCTCAAGATTGAGGACTTTGAGCTACTCAAGGTTGTCGGCAAGGGCAGCTTCGGCAAGGTCATGCAAGTGCGCAAGAAGGACACGAACCGAATCTATGCGCTCAAGACGATCCGCAAGGCGCACATCATCTCCCGCTCCGAAGTCGCCCACACCCTCGCCGAGCGGTCAGTGCTGGCGCAGATCAACAACCCCTTCATCGTGCCTCTCAAATTCACCTTCCAGTCGCCCGAGAAGCTCTACTTTGTGTTGGCCTTCGTTAATGGAGGCGAGCTGTTCCACCACCTGCAGAAGGAGCAAAGATTCGACGTTAACCGCTCTCGATTCTACACGGCCGAGCTTCTTTGCGCACTCGAATGTCTCCACGGATTCAACGTTATCTACCGTGATCTCAAGCCTGAGAACATTCTGCTCGACTACCAAGGCCACATCGCTCTGTGCGATTTCGGTCTCTGCAAGCTGGACATGAAGGACGAGGACAGAACCAACACTTTCTGCGGCACCCCCGAGTATCTGGCTCCAGAGCTACTCATGGGCCAGGGGTACAACAAGACGGTGGACTGGTGGACGCTGGGCGTCCTTTTGTACGAGATGTTGACAGGCTTGCCGCCCTTCTACGATGAGAACACGAACGAAATGTACCGCAAGATTCTCTCGGAGCCCCTCCACTTCCCCGGCCACGACGTCGTCCCGCCGGCGGCTAAGGACCTTCTGACGAAGCTGCTCAACCGCGACCCTAAGGAGCGTCTCGGTGCCAACGGATCAGCCGAGATCAAGGCGCACCCCTTTTTCCACGCCATCGACTGGCGCAAGCTTCTGCAGCGCAAGTACGAGCCTGCGTTCAAACCCAACGTGGTGAGTGATTTACATGCACAGACAAACGCAAAACGGCATTATGCATGAGCTTTTGTTGCTAACGTGTTCATTTTCTCCCCTCAGGTGGACGCCCTCGACACGGCCAACTTTGACCCCGAGTTCACGTCAGAAGCCCCCCAGGATTCTTACGTGGAGGGCCCGATGCTCTCGCAGACGATGCAGAACCAATTCCAGGGCTTCTCTTACAACCGCCCGATCGCGGGACTGGGCGACGCCGGCGGTAGTGTCAAGGACCCTTCCTTTGTGGGCAGCATCCAGGACCGATGAGGTGGTTGAATTTTGCGGCTTGGCCGGCAGAGCAGGCCGGCTCCCTTAGAAAGCGAAGCATGGCATTGTGAAGAGGGGCGGTGGGGGCTGGGGGATATGGTGAAATCAGGGGTTACCCTGAGATTACAGCAAAGCGACTCGACACGAATCTCAGACTCGCTCGTTGCGCGCGCATACAGATAGCTTTGCGTCTTCGTCTTTGTACGGCGTTCTGGGACGGGCATGATTACGCCTTTGGGGAAAAGGAAATGTAGATAGGCACAGATCATTGAGCAGACAGACGAAATCAGCCCGGCATTATTCATGGGGATATTGGGCCGAGACGTGGCATGGTTTGCGTGTTGTAGACAGGTGTGGTGATCGTGACTGGCGAAAGCCATTAAGCAGCCAGCGAGGTCCTCGGCTTCGCAACAGGCTCGGAACGGGACGCGTCTGATGTCGAACATCGGATCTGCCGGGAAGGGGGCGGCAGGTTGGAGCGGGAGTTAGTAAGCGCGGGGGGTCCACCGGGTCGGAGTGACCACGTTGTAATACCTCTCCCCTCTCCACTCCCCTGAGTTAGCTGTGTGTTGTTGATTCGCAATGCTACCTACCCAGGTATGTATGTAGGCACCAAAGGTAAGGACTGAAAGAGCACACAGTATGTAGGTACGTCTCACTGATGTCTACATGCGGGCAAAGGCCGGCAGACGAGTTGTTAACGACAATGCTTGCTGCAGGGTGCATCAGGTAGGCAGGCATGTAGTGGCATGGGATTCGGGACGTGGGACGCGGATTTGCATCTTTGCATCGATGGCGACCATTGGCTATAGCCAATGGAGAGGATCCGCGTCGAATTTGCCCCGAACAAAAGTCACGATGTGACGATGCAGAAAGAAATTAGGGGGGCCAATGGGGAAAGAAGAAAAAGAGAAAAAAAAAACTGCCAAAAGATCTCTGACTTTCCTCGAGGACAGACGAACCACAAGGTGGCGGGGCAGGTAAGCCTCGCCTCATACTAGCTCTGGGTGGTGAATCAGCCATCGGGTATAGCAGATAAGGAAAAGACGCAGGCAATTGGCACGGCTGTCGTTTCGGGGGGGGGACAAAGGCGATAGGGGCTAATAAAGGAAAGCTTCCACAGGTGGGGCCACTCGTTGGCAAGAGGTGGGACATGGAATGTCACAACCGGCAAGCTTCACCTTTTTTTCCCCCTTCTCACAATTTTGATTTATTGCGTCTAGTCGTGAGGGATTATTGTACCACAGCAGCTGTCGGGGGAACTGGAGGGGGTGGTGGTGGTGGTGAGACTGAATGAGGATGTAAATTCTCATCGCATCGCATCGTGTACAATTAGGTAAGCTCCTTCTTTTCATGCTTCACGGCTGTCCCAGGAACAGCAACCGGGGCGGGCGGGACGGGGTGGGGTGGGGTGGGGTGGAGGCGACGATGACGGAGAAACTTGGACGAGCTTGATGGCAGCTCCGGGTCTTCCTCCTCCCACTGAATCATTCGGTCGGTCAATCACTCAACGACCCCATCGCCCTCAGTCAGCCAAAGCCAAAAGGTAAGTAATTACACCACGAGAACGGTGCAGGTAGCATCGTCGAGTGCTCTCTTTTCCCTTCTAAAGCACCGCCCTCCCCCACGTCATTCCTTTCTTCGGCCTTCCCTCTCCTCTCCTCCCCCTCCTCCTCATCACCATCGTCTTCTTCTTCTCACGTTGATACCCCCCCCCCCCGCCTCCGCCCTCCCCCTCTCTTTCTCTCGTCACCTTCACCTCACACTTGGTTGATTTCCCGTTCCAGCTGCCCTTACTGAGCGCCCCTACACTACTCCCTATTCTACCTAGGCAGCGCCGTGTCATCCAAAGGTTGGTGCACTTTCCACTTTACCTTCCCTCGGCGAGGACGTGTGCCCCGCGTTCCAGGTGCGCTCAGTTGTGCTTTCTGGGACCGCAATTACCCCTCCACGCCAGACATGCCACCTCCCGCCAAGCACCGTGATTGGCTGCTTTGGAGCTATGGACGCCGCCGCTCTCGTCCATCCCACTTGTTGCCGTTAGAGGCACCACGACCTCATACTCTCGTCTAGTCTCGTCTCGCCTTGCATCCCCTCCCACTGTCGCAGTCAGACCACGGCCGACGGCAACGCACGCAGCATCCAAATATTCCCTCACCCATCTCTTCTCATTCCATCTACCTACCTACCGTTCCTTCGGCCAAGTCACCAGACCGAGACGACACCAGTCACCAGCACCAGCTTTATTACATCATTCCTCGTCACCACCACCTACAATCATTACGAAAGAACCTCTAAGCTAACCTCGAAAACTTTCTTTAAAAGATCGCGATCCACTACACAAACAAGAGCGTCCCACCATTCCCCAACCGCCCAAAATGCCCCAAGCTTCCAGCCTTCCCGCCTGGGCCGAGCTCCAGGCTCACCGCGACAATGTTGGCAAGAACTTTGTCCTCAAGGAGGCCTTCGCCAACGACACGGACCGCTTCGCCAAGTTCTCCCGTACCTTCAAGAACTCGGCTTCGGGTACTGACATCCTCTTCGACTTCTCCAAGAACTTCCTGACCGATGAGACTCTCGACCTCCTTGTCAAGCTCGCCGAGCAGGCCGGCGTCGAGAAGAAGCGCGACGCCATGTTCGCTGGTGAAAAGATCAACTTCACAGAGAAGCGCGCCGTCTACCACGCCGCCCTTCGCAACGTCGGCGACTGGGAGATGAAGGTCGATGGTGTCGATGTCATGTCCAAGGAGGGCGGCGTCCGTGACGTCCTCAACCACATGAAGGAGTTCTCCGACCAGGTCCGCTCCGGCGAATGGAAGGGTTTCACCGGCAAGAAGCTCACCAACATCATCAACATCGGCATCGGAGGTTCCGATCTGTAAGCCCTTCACCCCTCCACCTCATCCCACCATTGCCTGTCTCTAACGTCACACAGCGGCCCCGTCATGGTCACCGAGGCACTCAAGCACTACGGTGCCAAGGACCAGACCCTGCACTTCGTCTCCAATATCGACGGCACCCACATTGCCGAGGCCCTCGCCGACTCGGACCCTGAGACCACCCTATTCCTCATCGCCTCCAAGACCTTCACCACTGCCGAGACCACCACCAACGCCAACACGGCCAAGTCGTGGTTCCTTGAGAAGACGGACGGCAAGGGTGATATCGCCAAGCACTTCGTCGCCCTGTCCACCAACGAGGAGGAGGTCACCAAGTTCGGCATCGACGCCAAGAACATGTTCGGCTTCGAGAACTGGGTCGGCGGCCGCTACTCTGTCTGGAGTGCCATCGGCCTTAGCGTCGCCATCTACGTCGGCTTCGACAACTTCCACAAGTTCCTTGCTGGTGCCCACGAGATGGACAAGCACTTCCGCGAGACACCCTTGAAGGAGAACATCCCCGTCCTCGGCGGTCTCCTCAGTGTGTGGTACTCTGATTTCTTCCAGGCTCAGACTCACCTGGTTGCTCCGTGAGTGGAAACACGGCCCGGAACTCAGTAGCACGCGCTGACCTGCAAAACAGCTTCGACCAGTACCTGCACCGCTTCCCCGCCTACCTTCAGCAGCTGTCAATGGAGTCCAACGGCAAGAGCATCACCTCAGACGGAACCCCCGCAAAGTACACCACCGGTAAGCAGACTCTACAGCGGGTGTTAGGTGCCAGTTGAGAAACTAACGCGGCATAACAGGTCCCATCCTCTTCGGCGAGCCCTGCACGAACGCCCAGCACTCCTTCTTCCAGCTCGTCCATCAGGGCACCAAGCTCATCCCCACCGACTTCATCTTGGCCGCCAAGAGCCACAACCCCCTTGCCAATGGCCTCCATCAGAAGATGCTTGCTTCCAACTACTTTGCTCAGGCCGAGGCCCTGATGGTTGGCAAGACCGCTGACGAGGTCCGCGCTGAGGGCACCCCCGAGGAGCTTGTTCCCCACAAGATCTTCTTGGGCAACCGCCCTACCACGAGCATCCTGGTCGGTGGCCACATCGGTCCCGCCGAGCTCGGCGCTCTGATCGTCTACTACGAGCACCTTACCTTCACCGAGGCTGCCGTCTGGGACATCAATGCCTTTGACCAGTGGGGTGTTGAGCTTGGCAAAGTTCTTGCTAAGAAGATACTCAAGTACGTGCCGATGTTACCCTGTCGACCTTTTTCAAGGGGACACATTGCTAACCAATCCTTTCAGGGAGCTTGACGAGTCTGGCAACGGCCAGGGTCACGACGTCTCTACTGGTGGCCTGATCGGAGCCTTCAAGAAGTACTCCAACTTGTAATGACTAATCTGCGCCGCGTTGTTTAGTAGTTTCGAAAATTGGAAATAGGGGGTGTGAAGACATATCCACATTACAAACGAAGCCGGCAGTAAAATACAATAAAGACGTTTGCCCATCTTTGAGCAGAACAAGATGCCCGTGGGGTTTATATCTATATGATTTTTGCATGTAACAGCACCCTCTGACAAATAGGTGCGCAAGCAACTGCAAAAAGCTTAGATAATGTCTGGCGAGTACGTCGCTTCCCAATCCTCAGCCATGGCATTCTCGATGCGGTTGCTTCCGCTGTGCGAGGGCTTTTAGGTAGGTGGCGTTGTCGTCGTTGGCCATTTTTTTAGCGCTGCTTAACATGGTGACCGCGGGTAGTACGTACGTTCACAACACCGCCATGGCGGGAGATCGTGTTGGCGTTACACTGCAACGGCATAGCCAGAGGTACGGCGTGAGGATACTATCGGACTGTTGGATCGACTTGGTCAATCTTGGCTGGCTGCAGATTGAGAAAAACCACGAGAAATTGTGATTGAGCGGGAAAATCGCTGAGCCACCACGATATGAACCGAGCAACAACGTAACCGATGCCGAGTAAGTCTGGGCCGAACGTAGGCTCCTCCTCGTTCCACAAATCTAACACGACAAGTTGTACCTTTGGTCAACCAATATCCATGGATGTCGGTACAGACAAGGTCTCAAATTCGCAGTATCTTCCTGAGAGTATGTGTCGGCAGACAGGATGGACACCTTCGTTTCGTCAAGAGGGTGGATATCAAAGCCCACAAGGGTAACTCCGGCGGCAACCCATTGCTCCCCTAAGATTTCGCTCCGTTCAAGGGTGCTGATGCGAGTTTTTGATGGTGAAAAGATGGCTATAATGGCGCGAGTGCCGATGCTATTGCAAGATGACGCATGAAGCAGAAACCCCAGACGGCTTTCCTCCACAGGCGACAGTTTCGTGTATGGATTTCTGGGTGGCTCGGCAATCCTCACTGTGCGTTCGTTGTGGCATCGCAGTGGGATTCGAGAGACGGAACTCCACTCAGAACAACCGACTAACCGAGTCAGCCATTCATTCGGTGCTGCCCCTATCAGCCCGGCCAACCAAAGAACTGCTACTTTGGTATTGAATGGACGATGCGTCGAGTGAAGCAATGTGATAAGGGTCGATACGGCTAGATATATCTTCTGGCCAATACCGAATACATCGCGGTCGATAATGGGCAAGCTACTGAAAAAGAAAGTGCTGTCGGAAAGGACCGTTGTGCTCAATGTCTCATCAGGAACATTGCCGGATCATCTCGAGGCATGCGAATGCCATGTCGGCTCTGCTACAACTCCAGGAACTGAGAAGTGCCTTAGCAAGGGAGGAAAGGCCAACACCCAGCCCGCGCTGATCACATCGTTTGCGTAATGCTGAGCCTTTCCAGTATCCGATATATTCATGGCGGGAGGCCATAGGTCCCGTTACTGTCTACCTACCTGACCGGCTCTCTAGGACGAATTTCTTAGAATGATGACGCCGCAGATATGAGGGAGGCGACAGAGATGGGAGGCGGGAGCTGGTCGACTCACCGGACCACGAGACGCGGCACATTGCAATCAGATTGTCAGGATGCCTCGTCTGCGATCGCACGAGCCCCTCGAAACTGCCGGCAGTCCCGCAGGATCACCGCATTACAATACCTAGTACAGCCCGGCTCGGGTGACTGGGAGACTGTCCTCGATGAACTCGTGTACGCGGCAAGGAATCGCGATGAGGCAAGTTGATCGATCGCCGGAGCGTCTGGGCCCTCCAAAGTATCTCCTCCGCCCGACGAGACCCCCCCTTGCAGGTACACGATTTCCCGCCCTCCACGGGGAGGGATGGATGGAGACCCAGGTCCTCCTGCTCCTCCTTCTCTATCCAGAGCCGATCGGCGTTCTGGACGGAGTAGGCACGCACGGCGGCACGGAGCGCATGGAATCTTGTTCTCGAGTCTGTCCGTCAAAGCTTCTGCTGTCAAAGGCATCCCCACTCAAGGCGGCGTGTGTATATAAACTACATCACAGTGTCGGACGTTGGGGCTACTCCAGTGTACGCTCTTTGGCGGTCCATATTTGCCGCAGCAGAGCGGCTCGTCTTGGCTCCACGTTCCATTTTCCACGAAAGGGTGTGTCCCTCGATTGAAGACCAGGATCCAAAAAGCATACCTAAATCACATATCTTGCGTTTGACCTGTAGCCCCACGAAAAACACATTCACTGCTCCACGTACACGTATGTACTCCCTTTGCAGGCATACGACAATAGCTCTCCGAGGCCGTGCTCCGCCGGTTAGTCGTTCTGGGTAGCACGATTGGCACTCTCACAGTCGCCTGTGTGGGGGCGGAACACATGCTTCACTCAGTTGGGTGGATGCCCTCGGTTTTGCGCAAAGGGCTAAGGGGGGAGACGCATCTCGGTGCATTTATCTCCCTAACCGCTTCGTTCAGTCGGCGACTCGGCACAGAGGACCGCGTTGGCGTGTCAACCAGTACTCCATGTCTGATCCGCTCACTTCTTTGGTGCTGGTTGCTCCTTTGGACCGAAGTGATCGACAAGAGCATGCGCTCCTTAGCAGCGCGCCGCCAACCGTAGCACGAGAGCCTGAACCGATTACAATAAACATGGTGAAGTGACCAAAGAAACCGGAAAGGAGCACACCTTTAGCCAGCGACGTGCGTGGGCGTGGTGCGCAGAGGACGTCAGCCGTACCGTGCCAAACTCCGGATCATTCGTCCTCATCTCCGCCTCCTGACCATCCACGGCGAGTGCCGTGCCGCCAAGAGGGTTGTACTGTGCCGCCTGACCGCCCGGCGAAGACCGGCCGCTGCTTGTCGGCTATGTGGTGCTACCCCAGGCCAAGCGGCCGCCGATTGGTTCCTTTGCATTGCGGGCGAAGGAAGAAAGCGCGCACAGCGCGGTCAAATCCTCTCGCCAGACGCGGCAGGGGCAGAGAGGCCGTGAGAGATGATAACTCTCCGAGTTGACTGCTTGATGGAGTGACGGGCACCTTTCATCGCCGAGTCACCCATCCAAGACCACACCGGAGGACGCTGATCTTTGTGACCTCGGGAGGCCTATTTTTCAAATGCCACCGCGCCAACAATAGGCAGCTGATTGCGGTACCGTGAGAGGCAGCTGCTACAATGGCCAAGTGAGGGACAAAAGCAACCCTTCTTTCTGTGAATCGGAGAAAGTCGGCCCCACTCGTGGATGGTAGCACGGCGCAGTCCGGGCGGTTCCCTCTTGTCCAATTTAGGTCAGATGCATGGCCAACCCCATGGAGAACCAACATCCCAAGTGTCAGCCAAACAGCTGCAACCCATGGGGGGGAAGAGGGGTGCGGGGGGGCATCGAGTCAGTTTCGGACTACCGAGGTAGTAAGCAAAGCACGATATCACTCTCCCGTCAATGGAAGGGGCGAGTGAGGCCGCCGGTTATAACAATCGACAGGGCTGGAGTGTGAGCGATTTGTACGTCGACGAGTCCTTTTCCGCATAGAGTGGCCTGCTACCCGAAGAAGAGGCATTTTTGACACCGGGTCGCTTTCAACTTCGGGAGTTCCTCAAGTGAAACTGCCGAAAAAGACTTCGATGTCCGCCATCTTCTACGGCTCAAACGATGCCGGCGACGATGATGAATGGCATGCGCGCACAAAGGCCCGCCTACTGAGAAGTGGCAAAAATGCAAAAAAGAAGTATACATAGCCGGCGTACAGCATCAAGAGCATACAAATCTCGTGGCCAGGCAGACGGACATGGGGTATCCAACCCCCCATTTGTCACCGGCCAGATGTCTCTGGCCAATGACGGTGGTGATGAGGGAGGAGGACGGCGATTCAGAGGCATGTGCCCAACCGTAGTAACCACCCATCACGACCGCAACAGGCGCGTAACCCACACCCAGTTCCAACCAGCGAATTGCCTGATCCTCAACTGCTGTTGGACTCTCACGTGGAACCCACCATGGCGTACCCGTCCAGCACGAGGTTATGCTGATCTATCACCAGCTTTGGGATCATCTGGGGTTACCCACTCATTAGCACGCCCTCGACAACTCAAGCATGGCTATGACCACCGTTTATCTTGTGGGAAAGACGCTGTAACCGAGAGAATGGCACATGCAACGAGGGGGAGGCGGCTGGGTTCAAGAGAGGCAGTATCTCCTGAACATCTCGATTGAGGCTTGGTGATCAACGATCATTGATTTGATATCCACCTCCCGGAGGAGTTTGCGGTCGCAGGAAAGGAGCGTGTATTCGTGGATATCATAGTATAGGTGTATACAACTGTCGTCAGGTTCGGCCTTCGACACATGTAAGGGCCTGACATCCTCCGTAACCTTAGACTCGCGGCAGTCGGACAAGTTTGCTTGTTTGCTATAGCGTACAATGACGTGGTATCTGGCAGAACATGATTAAACTAACTCTGGATGCCCATTTGCCGCAGCGTAACGACATCGTGAATGACGGCCGCATTGAGTTTCTTACGGATCGTGAGTGCGGAAATGCAAGCTGCAACAGACGAGCCAGGGTCAGGGTGTTTGGACTAAAACTACACCCTGAGGGCTTGTTGTCGTAAGTACCTGCGACACCGAGAAGGCTAAGAGGACCCTTGGTGCCTAGGATTTGCTGGTGCAGAACGGGGGGGCAAAGATAACAGCCAATCAAATCGCACAAACGCTCCCTTAATACTGCATAGTAAGAAGGGTTCGCGGGGCTTGACAAGGTTTGAGGGGTGCGTGCATGGAAAGGGAGTAGCGATGACGCATGCCAAGAGACGACGTCGATGGATGGAGGGGTTCGACTAAGTCTAGTCTGCAATACGCTGAGTCTGCTCGTGTCATGGTCCTGACTCTGTGGTGCAATCAGATTGCGAGCACGTGGCTGCAAGAGTCAGTTTCCTATTGGAGATGATATCTCGGGAACTTCGTAGCGGCGGAGTCAGAATCCGCCATTAATTGGTTGGCGGTTTGAGATGCTT